AAAAACTATTGTACATTTGTGCATTGCGTTTATTGATTTTTAATTTTCAGTCTTCATCTTGATTTGGAGTATGCATTTTGATGTTCATTATCAGGTTGTATTGTGATGTGTCGGACGTCTGATATCCACAGACGATAAACTGCAATACGATAACACAAACATGATGCAATTAAGATATAAATTTACTTAATTCGTAAACCAAATGTCACGCAACTTCCATATGCTTATTCTACATTGTATCCTAACAAACTGTTTCAACTTCTGACCTGTAATGTTTTACAGCCATGAAATAGCTAAATCACCCTAAAGAGCATATGTTCTTATGCTGTCAAAATATGTTGGTAGGTTAATATTTTTATAAGGGCCATGGCAGTTGAATAGAATGACTTGACAGACGCTGGGCATCTGGGGTTTGGTTCCCAGCAGGATTTTTTCTTTGCCAATACTGGTCTGTGTCCTTTCAGTCACCTGTCCAGTGGGTGTGAGAGGGAACTTTATTTCTGAGGGGTGAAGTTACAAATTTGTTACTCTGTAGGCTACTGTTTGGTACACACAAAAGATCCACAGGTGTTCTTTATACCACATACTGCATAACAGTGTCACCTTAACCTTTAAAGGCTGTGTCTTTTAAGACATGGCAGTGGTATCTCTAGTTGGTCGACTGTGTACTTTATCATGTGCACATTGCAGCATGTATTATTATTAATTCATGATCGTCATATTGGGTTCTAATCCATGAAAAAAATTCAGTGAACTCTAGGATTACATGTTACACAGGCTTCCCTGACAACCAACTATTGAAATTTGTAAGTGGGAAAGCCCTCCATTCTTTAGGCTATACTCTGTAACTTTAAAATTAAAGTTTACTACAATGCTTTAAAGTAAGTCAGTAATTTGATTTGAAATGGGCAGAAGTAAACTACTGATTTCAGATTCAATTTTTATTTATTTGTTATTTATTATAGCATTATTTTTTCAATGTGTTTCCAAAAACTTACACATTTTTATATACACCTTATCAATCTTCATTTGGGGATGTAATGAAATTGAATATTCTTATTAGTAATTTTCCTGTACATTTTTGGGTTTCACTGAAACAATAAATTCTAGAAGGATTTGTGTCATGTACTTACTAATATATGCCTACTGTGATTTATTGGTTAATTTTACCATACCTTTAGCATTGGTGTGGTCTGCTCTTACAATCAGGTGGCCACTCTGTATTTACATTTGTTTTTTCATTTATATAACAATTATCAATAAATAAATAGCAGGGCCTGAAATGTCTGTTTGATTGGAAGGGGGAAAGATATCAAAACTGTATTTAGATCAGATTCAGTGATTGTTCTCGAAATGTTGGCAGAAGATATGGTGTGTTCAACATTCAGCTTGTAGCCTGAGAAACTTTCATCAACTTCAGTTGCCGCAAAAGCTTCACCTCATACATACCTTTCTTCTTATTCAGAAGAGAGCTAATGGCAATAGCTTGCAGCTGATTATTGTATGCGGAGACCAGAACTAACATTAGACGGGTTCCAGGATTTGTAGGATCCAGTGTTATGTTGGCTTGTACTGCAGCATCTGATGTAAGGATGTGTCTTCTTCCATAGAATACTCTGAACTCTGTCTTACAAAGTTCTGAGTTTGCATTATTAGTGGAGGAATCAGATCTGTACTGCCTTTCAGCACCCTGCATCTGCAGGATACCACAGGTGAAGAGATGAAAGTTCTCAGTGCACTGATTTTCTAAATGGGTCACAAGAAGAGGAATTCAATGAAAGTCATGTGCTATGATGGACAATGGTAGATAAGTAAGGGCTGCCCCCCCCTCTCACTCACTCTCACTCTCATGTCCTTAATCCTGCTGGCCAGACTGCAGAATACCTTCTCCACTCCTGCCAGGCCCTTGTCCAATCTTGACTCCACTTCCCACTGGTCAGGCCAAGGCTCTGCTGTGGCAGCACATGTTGGTGCTTCTGAGAATAAGCAAAACACTGACTACCCTTCTCCATTCGCCCATCCACAGTAAGATGGCATGTTGGAACGATGTGTGAAGATGGTTTAGCAGCACCTGCAGAAGTTTGATGCATCAGAGAGATTGTGGCGATGTTATCCATCTTCTTACTGGCCAACAGAACACTACAGCAGGACTGACAACCACCAGCATAGTGTTGATTAGTGAGCCAAATCTGCCCTGTGACTTACTGTTATCCCCCCCTCCCAGTCTGTCTACAGCCGACTGCGTGGTGAACTTCTTAGATTGGCTGCATGGTGTCCATTATTATTCCTGTCAAAACCTGAAAGTAGCCAGGAACAGGATGGAGGCCGGATTTGAAGGAGGAGACAAAGTCTGGCTGTATTCCCTAACCGGGCCAGGAGAAAGTCGCCCAAGCTCCAGCCGTCCTGGGAAGGCTGATACAAGGTGATCACTAGGGTCAACAACGTGGTCTGCATTATCTTGTGATGTCCAAGGGCAAAGATTATGGTGATAGATATACATGGCAGACTCTTATCATACCAAAGGGCTACTCAGTCAAGCAGCTTCAGGATGGAGCAGTGTTATAAGCCTCCCTCCTCTTTTACAGTGGTGCAACCGGCCTTGTGACTTGAACCCCACTCGTAGCATTATATCCAGAGAAGTGGCTGTCGGTGAACTGTGCAAGCTACCTTGTTCCGTCTTTCTGCACTTTACTGTTCACTTTGGAAAGGTGGGGGTTAATTGTGGGAGCATATAGTGAAGATGTGATTGAACAGTGCTATTTGTTGGTGCATTGGGAGGTTACACCAGTTATTTTGGAGTGGTGAGAGGGAATGCTGCAGATGCTTGGAAGTGGAAAGGTTTTCCATAAAAAACCCTTGCTTTTAAAAGATGGAATTGTGTTGCCAGTCATAAATCTTCTAATGAGTACCTCACGGTCTTGTGTTGCGGAAGTGCATCCAGAAGTCACAAGCGGAAACTTGTAGTGGTTTGAAAATAAAAAAATAAAACTAATAAAAAGGCACTCATTCAAGGGTACTGAAGAAAATTGGATTTCTCTCCTTTATTACAACCAGAAAGGAGCATGGATGGATAGGGAGATTTGAAAATTGGTTCCAAAAACATTTTGTTCCTGAAGTTTAGGCTTACCTGACAGAAAGAGGATTACCACAGAGAGCAGTGTTACTGCCAGATGCCTTTTCTCATCCAAGATACAGTGTGCTGAATTTTGATGATGGCCTCATTGTTGTAAAGTTTTTTCCCACCCGCCCATGTCACAGCAAAAAAGCCCATGGAACAGGAAGTGATTACATTCATGAGAATGGCAACCAGGCTGACTTTCTCAGGACTCTTGCGGCATAATAGCATAATGGAAAGAAAATGACAGTGCTGTATGCTATATGTGACACATCTAGGTTATGGTCTTTCATGAATGTAGTAACACTTTTGATCACAGAAGAAGCTTCTTCTGGACATAGACGATGATGATTTCCAAATGAAATAAGCAAATTTGAAAGTTTTGACATGTTGACAAAGGTTACATTGAAGAGTGGTTACAAAAGTATGCATGTGAGCTGAGCTTCCAGTACATGACGGACACAGCTGGTGCTGCTATGGAAGAAAAGTGAGAAGTAGAAGGTGGAGAGGATGAAAGTGAAGAAAGTAAAGGACAGAGTACAAAGTGCATGTCTCCACATCGGTCATACCATTGAATGGTGCTACATTGTGTAGATATTACTGGAAATACGTTGGTCAGAGGGCATTCATGAGCAGTGACATTATAGTTGCCAGGGAAGTTTACACTGCTGTTAGGAGGAGTCTAAGCAGTTCACAGAAGCAGGCAACCATTACAGACTTTCTCAAACATCAGTTGTGTAAAGCAAAGGAAGGTAATTTATCATGTCTTAGTGGATGCATCAATCAAAATATTTTGGATTATTGAATTTTATTGTTGTTCATGTTTCTTCTCCCCTTCATTTGTGAAGATAATTGGGTGTTGGAATCAGTACTAGAGACACATACATATGGGAATGTTTCACTAAATTATGTAATTATTAATTCATAGTTATTACTAGCCTTGCCATATATATTTGAAGTATTTGATGGAAACTAAGAATCTTAAGTTGTTCATAAGTTAATCACAGAACTTGTTAAGTTCTTCATACCCCTTTAACTATTTTAAGACATGTAATTTTAATGTAGTGAAGTTTTGTGTTGTTTGCCAGTTATCTGGCAGTGGGTAGGTTAAGTCATTTTAAGAATGACTGTCTGCATTGGTTTACATAGAGTAATCAACTTCTTTAACATGATTACATGAAGATTTTTTTTTTTGGAGGGATGCATGTATTAACCATTTGAAATTTTAATGGTTATTGAAGGTAAATATTTCTTGATTCATTAAATTATGAAATAATGTAATAACAATTTAAAGAATTTATTAAAGAATGTCAGACTGATAATTGATTACTTATGACAGTATTCAGCATGAAAATATATGCATTTAGTTTAATATTATGTAGAGCTAAATGCAGGAACATATTTAGAAATCCTATTGCCTGCTTTTGTGGACTAGGTTTGCGAGACAGAACGAAGTAGGCTGAAGTTGAATATTGCCAAGAGTCCTCATAATGTGGCTGCAGAGGAACCAGATAACGAAAAGTCTGTGAAGCAACTGAAAGGTCAATTGAAACAGGTAAGATTTTTCTTTATATACATTCAATTCTTGAGAAGAATGAATTCAATTTCTATTAAGTTATAAGTACATGCATACCGAATTCTTCAACTGTGGCAACTGTGTGAATTGCAGGGAAGTATGTTGTGAATCTAAACAAATTCAAAATGTAAACTGTTTTAAGGAGTTACATTGTGTAAAGTATACATACTGAAAAACAGGAAGAAATTTAAAACATAAGGGCACATGAGTTAAATACACATTTCAGTACCAGTTATGAAATTATTCAGACAATTAAAAATGGCTTCAAAAGTATTAAGCATAAGCAGTGATTGGCAGAATAGAATATCTTAATTAATTTTACTGCCAGATTGATACCTTATGAATCAACACTATTAGGAAAACATGTACCTTAATCTGCTTGTGAAAAGTAATTTACAGTTTGTGCAGCTTTCTCAGTGTCTAAGTAAGATTTGAGGTTCTCATGGTGGTGAGTATGAAGATGGCTGTCTTCTGAGTTGTAGTTAACACCCTCCCTAAGGCAGTACCAAACATACATTTCATGCGGCATAACTAACTAACTAGATGGCTTACCGAACCTGAAGGTTCATCACCGAATTAACCAAAGCCCTCCACCAGACCCTGTCCTCGGCCAACAAAATCCAGTCTCCTTCAACTCCTATCTCCCATACAAGATTTAAATAATACATAATGGATTTATGTAAAATATTCCAATGTGAATTTGTATAAAAGTCCATCAATTTGGAGCCAGATTGTTCCATGCAACACACTGACAGTGATGAAGCTAATAGGTATTTTTGCCAGTTTTTGTTGTGCACGTGCCCAAATGTGGTACTGACACAGTCATTTCTCATGTAGGTTATAGATTGTGTTCTGGGAAAATGTCCCATGCTAATCAAAACATTAAGTAAATGTGATATTATGGATGACATGTTACTGCATTATTCTATAGCATGTCAACAAGAATTGCATAAACCTAATATATATAATAATTAAAAAACAAAGTAAAAGTAAAAGAAATCCTGCTACACACCATGTAGGTCATTTGGGGGGAAGAGTAGGTACAGTTCCTATTCATTCTTGATGTCAGCACTAGATGGGGGTGAGTGATCAGCATCACACCTTGGCCGCCCTTTATCACTGGGAAAGGACCCCGATACCCATTGGATAGGAGGCTGGGTAGACCTAGAGCCGGTCTGGGCACAGGGGCTAGAGGAAAAATCCTCTGCCCCCTCAGGGATTGAACCCCAGACGTCCGGCTCATAACTAGTCACTGCACTGACTGAGCTATCCCGGTTTCGTAATAATTAGAATGACATCTTGATATCAGTTTGATGTGAACCTGGGCCGCTATATATGTACATGTGTAAGTGATAGTTGATGGCCAAAATCTGCAGTAAAATATATGAGTAGATGTGTTTAACATGTACCACTTAGTTTTGTTACACTATATGAAGAGTGCAGATTCTCTAGTTCTTATGGAAGATTTTGTTACCCAGAAGTGCTCTCAAGCTGCAGCACAGTCTTGTCACACTTATGCGTCTGGCCGACTTGATCCATTTTAGAGCTCTTGCTTGTCACCTGAACATATGTTTTCTTATATAACCTTGATTTTTCTGAATGTGTGAAGTATTATCGCTTGAAAGGCCCAGACTCTAGCCATTGTGGCATTCGCTGTCACACCGGTTAAAAATGAGCATGTAATGCTTCAACAATGTTAGCATAAAACTATGCATGCATAAAAAAATTATAAAAGGTTCCTGATAAGTGTGATTATTTAATAAAGTCTAGTATTTGTCACACAACACACACCTAAAGGCAATGAAGTTTTGGTGTCGCTAATCTTTACTGGTATGTAGTACTATCAGCTCATGATCTCATCTGACAGCTAATTCTTATGAAGTACCAATCTGGTTGACAGACCTGGAATTTTTTCAGAACTACATAACTAAGAGCATGCTGATATATAGCTTCTCTGTGAAAACAACATGTTTATTATGTAACACTGCTGTTTAATTCCAGTTTTTGTGTGAGTGATATGCCATTTTAACAAGTTTGGACTTCATCCTGTATGTAAGATTCTAATAACTGAAGTTTGTTTTTTCTTCACCCTGTGATTTTATTTTATTCAGTTGTTTGCTTGAGGGAGCAAGTTCTCATGCAAGAGATGTCTCATTCCACAGGTTTTCCAACTGATTCAAAAACAGATCCTGGAAGAGTTTTTGGAAGAAGATGGTAACATCTCTGCTCTGCAGGAATCTTGCAGTAGTCATAACCAACGAACTGGACAGATCGCTCTTCTGGAAAGGACCGATGATGGAAACATGTCCACAGTTGATAGCGCTCCTCTCCTACAGACTTCAGTCCCACTGTCCATTAATGGAATAACCCTTGACCCCCTAGAAAAGGCCAAAGATGTTGAACAATTAGGAAACCATTGTAGGAACTTGAAGTTTCAGTCAGATCTAGTTAATAGTAAAATAGTGAAAATTATATCTGAAAAGATAGCTTGTTCCAAAGAAAACTGTGCCTTGAAGATTCACATATCAGATTTAAAGAATCAACTTCCTGTGGACGAGGTATTCAAAGATGTTTCCTCTTTCCGATCGTCTCAGAATGATCCCAGGTTTGACATATCTCAAGAAATGTCCAGTCTTCAAGAATACACAAGTGATGTAGCTGAGTGTATAAGAACTGATTACAGTGATGTTGCAGTAAAATCTGTTTCAGTGAACCAAGTGAAAGAAATTTTCTTTCTAAATGGTATTGAAATGGGGGAAATCAAAGGAGGAAATGATGTGCTTGATTTAATGGAGCATGATGAAAAACAGATTACAAAATTAGTGACAGAAGAAGGGGATGATAGTAATGACAAAGAGAAACTTGATTTACCTGAAAAGCTTAGTGAGCACAGCATTTGTGCAAGAAGGAGTTCCTCTAGTTCAATACTGCAAGTAGAGGATTTATCTAAAATATGGATGAGGGAGGAGGAGACATGTGCAGAAGAGATCACAGTATTGCGGGAGCGATGCTGTCAATTGGAGAGCAGCCTGGAATTGTTACGTCAGGTAGGACCACTGCTGCACAGAATATGTAGCTCTTATCGGTACTGTGCACAGTGAAAAATCTTCTTTAGATTTAATTAACATGGAGCAGAGTTCTTCTTTAGTAACTAATAATTTCTCAGGCAGTGAAGGAATTTTGTTCTTCTATAGAACCAAAAGATTCATTGCTATATTAACACATCAAATCCTGCTACACACCATGTAGGTCATTTGGGGGGAAGAGTAGGTACAGTTCCTATTCATTCTTGATGTCAGCACTAGATGGGGGTGAGTGATCAGCATCACACCTTGGCCGCCCTTTATCACTGGGAAAGGACCCCGATACCCATTGGATAGGAGGCTGGGTAGACCTAGAGCCGGTCTGGGCACAGGGGCTAGAGGAAAAATCCTCTGCCCCCTCAGGGATTGAACCCCAGACGTCCGGCTCATAACTAGTCACTGCACTGACTGAGCTATCCCGGTTTCGTAATAATTAGAATGACATCTTGATATCAGTTTGATGTGAACCTGGGCCGCTATATATGTACATGTGTAAGTGATAGTTGATGGCCAAAATCTGCAGTAAAATATATGAGTAGATGTGTTTAACATGTACCACTTAGTTTTGTTACACTATATGAAGAGTGCAGATTCTCTAGTTCTTATGGAAGATTTTGTTACCCAGAAGTGCTCTCAAGCTGCAGCACAGTCTTGTCACACTTATGCGTCTGGCCGACTTGATCCATTTTAGAGCTCTTGCTTGTCACCTGAACATATGTTTTCTTATATAACCTTGATTTTTCTGAATGTGTGAAGTATTATCGCTTGAAAGGCCCAGACTCTAGCCATTGTGGCATTCGCTGTCACACCGGTTAAAAATGAGCATGTAATGCTTCAACAATGTTAGCATAAAACTATGCATGCATAAAAAAATTATAAAAGGTTCCTGATAAGTGTGATTATTTAATAAAGTCTAGTATTTGTCACACAACACACACCTAAAGGCAATGAAGTTTTGGTGTCGCTAATCTTTACTGGTATGTAGTACTATCAGCTCATGATCTCATCTGACAGCTAATTCTTATGAAGTACCAATCTGGTTGACAGACCTGGAATTTTTTCAGAACTACATAACTAAGAGCATGCTGATATATAGCTTCTCTGTGAAAACAACATGTTTATTATGTAACACTGCTGTTTAATTCCAGTTTTTGTGTGAGTGATATGCCATTTTAACAAGTTTGGACTTCATCCTGTATGTAAGATTCTAATAACTGAAGTTTGTTTTTTCTTCACCCTGTGATTTTATTTTATTCAGTTGTTTGCTTGAGGGAGCAAGTTCTCATGCAAGAGATGTCTCATTCCACAGGTTTTCCAACTGATTCAAAAACAGATCCTGGAAGAGTTTTTGGAAGAAGATGGTAACATCTCTGCTCTGCAGGAATCTTGCAGTAGTCATAACCAACGAACTGGACAGATCGCTCTTCTGGAAAGGACCGATGATGGAAACATGTCCACAGTTGATAGCGCTCCTCTCCTACAGACTTCAGTCCCACTGTCCATTAATGGAATAACCCTTGACCCCCTAGAAAAGGCCAAAGATGTTGAACAATTAGGAAACCATTGTAGGAACTTGAAGTTTCAGTCAGATCTAGTTAATAGTAAAATAGTGAAAATTATATCTGAAAAGATAGCTTGTTCCAAAGAAAACTGTGCCTTGAAGATTCACATATCAGATTTAAAGAATCAACTTCCTGTGGACGAGGTATTCAAAGATGTTTCCTCTTTCCGATCGTCTCAGAATGATCCCAGGTTTGACATATCTCAAGAAATGTCCAGTCTTCAAGAATACACAAGTGATGTAGCTGAGTGTATAAGAACTGATTACAGTGATGTTGCAGTAAAATCTGTTTCAGTGAACCAAGTGAAAGAAATTTTCTTTCTAAATGGTATTGAAATGGGGGAAATCAAAGGAGGAAATGATGTGCTTGATTTAATGGAGCATGATGAAAAACAGATTACAAAATTAGTGACAGAAGAAGGGGATGATAGTAATGACAAAGAGAAACTTGATTTACCTGAAAAGCTTAGTGAGCACAGCATTTGTGCAAGAAGGAGTTCCTCTAGTTCAATACTGCAAGTAGAGGATTTATCTAAAATATGGATGAGGGAGGAGGAGACATGTGCAGAAGAGATCACAGTATTGCGGGAGCGATGCTGTCAATTGGAGAGCAGCCTGGAATTGTTACGTCAGGTAGGACCACTGCTGCACAGAATATGTAGCTCTTATCGGTACTGTGCACAGTGAAAAATCTTCTTTAGATTTAATTAACATGGAGCAGAGTTCTTCTTTAGTAACTAATAATTTCTCAGGCAGTGAAGGAATTTTGTTCTTCTATAGAACCAAAAGATTCATTGCTATATTAACACATCATGCCTTCACCCACATGAATCCAGTATAAATCTTCACACCCTGGTAAGATGCATTTTAATATTATCCATCTGTTTATATCTAGGTTTCATATGTTCTCTTCCCTTCAGGTATTGTAACTAAAAGTTTGTGTGCATTTTTGTCTTTCCCATCCATCCTCCATTCCCCTACCCATATCTTCTTTCTTGATTTCATCACAAATAATTTTTTATGAAGGGTATGAGTTAGGATGCAGTTTTCTCCAGCCCAATATTTCTTACTCTTAGGTCCAAATGTTCTCTTCAGCAACCTGTTCATAAACACCCTAAACCTGTGCTAATTCCTTAATGTAAGAAACAAGTTTCTTGACCATACAGTCCACGACTGTAATCTTGTGACTTGTGAGGTGAGGAAGTGGGGTGAAGGAGGAAAGATAGTATTTGCCTTTAACGCTACAGACTTTCTGCATTCCTTGCAAGTATCAAGATTACAGTCATGGACTGTAAGACCAATTTCTAATACTTTTAATATTCTATATTTATAGACAGGAGAAAGCAAAGGAAAATTTGCTGGAATGAATTGTAGCAAGAAGTCTCCAAACTTAATCGACTCTAAATTTTTCAAGATTATAACTTAAACATATGATTTGAAGCTTTAGCTGCAACGGAACTCAAGAAAACCCTCTCTGGCCAGCAACTGTATCAAGTGGTCTAAAGAAATCCATGTTTTTGGGAACCCTCTCCATAATCAAGGACCTGTTGTGACTAGATACCTTAAATGTCCCAGAACCAGTATTCGTGGCTGGACACTGATCAGTAAGAGATAATAGGTGCAGTCAAGTACTTTCTTTGCTTTTGTTTGGCATTGCACTGGGCTGCTTAAACATGTTTGGCACAGGATATGTTCCCGCCTCAGGGTGATACCTCTGTTACTACTGAAATTACTGGGGTGCAGTTGGATTTCTATTGTGGTCCACATGCCCTGTTGCTTTTCCAGTGTAGAGATGCTGTTCAAATCAATGCTGTGGTCTACTGTAGTGGTCTATGTGGCTGAGACATATGTGTCTCATATTCTGTTTGATTTTGGTCTAAGTGATTCTACCAGGCTGACATGCATATATTTTGTCACATTGCTGGGGATTGAGTACCTTCAGACCCAATTTGTCTTTGCCAATCTGAGCACATGAATATTGTACTTGGCTGTAATGTCCCATTGGCAAGTGTCCATTCATTAATACTGATTCCAGGCATGTGTACATAGGGTATGTTAAAGGTATCCAGTCACACCAGATCCTTAAAATCTGATGGTTTGGGAGTGTATTATTTAAATAAGCATCCTGGACATTATCCATCTTTGTAATATAATTAAAACATGATATTTTGGAGACTGAAGTCTGTCTCCATCCTTAGATTAAACCTTATCTGCTGGGCCCAATCTATAGAGCTTGTCCTTTTCTCTGGATGGCAGTAGTTAACCAACCAGCTATAAAACTGACTAAGGGCAGAGTATGCACAGGCATAAGACATCATCCCTTAATAGGTTAGACCATTTTTGCATAGGTTTAAATGGTAAATATGATGCCTTATAAACTATGTTTTAAATTTTTTTTGTGGTTCATATACCGAGAGCAATTGGAAATAGATAATGGTATTAAAAACCGAATGTTTAATCATTGTTTTCTGTAAAGCATGTGCAGGCCAGCAAATTTTGTTAACAAGTAAAAAGTAATTATCACTGTTCTCATTCCTATTACCACTGTAGTATTTGTGCTGCATTGGTGTGGCTAGAAGTGAGAAGGAAGCAGGTATTTCTTTTATTTTTCCAGGATTGGTTGTTCATTGGCATTTTGATTTAAAGGTTCCACATTTGAATCTGACTGTAGATAAACAGTTTTATTTGCAAAACACATACCTTAGGGTCATTTTTGTTTTGTTATGTATACCAGTCACACAAAATATGAATTAGTATGTTAATCTTTGAAAGGGCCATTTTGAAGACAAGGCATCTTTAATAATTTGTCTAGAATCCCTGAGCTTCATCTGCAGTTTTCGATCATCTTGACAAGACTCAGTTAGACATCAGGCTTAACATTCAAATGAGGCAATGTCATCCCAAGACCCTTACACAAGTCCAGAGAGCATCTCATTCTTATTCTTGGAGGGACATCAGGGAACATTTCCTACATGGTTTTCTTCACCACACTCCATGCCCACTTTACATCACTAATCCTTGGTCAGGCACTTTTAGTGGCCATTCAGTGAGTTTGACTTCAGCCTGCTGTGATAGCCTTTCTTGAATCGCATGAGAATCATGAATGGAGGAATGGTCCACTTGTGATTCACACTGTTCTCAGCACACGCTACATGTAATAGTTTATGTTTAGTGGTAAGCACACCCTTCATTGCATAATGTCATACTGTGAGACCATCTTCTCTTAGTCTCAATATAGCTGTACATTCATGTCCAAGAAAGCTGGTAGCAGCCTTAAGCTGCCTTGCACTGGCAAAAGGTTTTTTGAGGTTTGGCTACTGATGCAGCATCATAGACTGGACTTGATATGTGCTATAATCCAATTTCTTTGCACCTCTTAACTTGCCCATCTGTCAGTATTTCTGTAGCATTGCTCTTGTTGTGGACCCTGGGACACCATTCGTCCACCTGCAGTGATAGCATTTAACCCACCTTCTTCAACAAGAGTGATGATTTGCTCATGAGTAGATGTGTTATGGTGATCCACAGTGATGATAGGAGTTGTTCAAGCCTTGTGCACTGGTTATATTATAGTAGAATGACCAAGTGATGTTCCAACCCCCCATGATAAGTAATATAACTTGCTGCTGCACTCTTAGCTGTAAACAAATAAGATTACATGAGGTGGCCATCAAAGTATATGAAACCCTCTCTAAGTCTCTGTTACACAAATCAACCACACTGGTATCCATCTCAAATAGCAAGTCATTAGTAACAGATGGAAGCCAGTGTAAGGTGCGTTAGCAGTGAAGTTGCTTCATTTGAATATTATGTTTGATCTGTAATTGAGTCCATACCAAGATGAATGACATCTTATTAAAGATGGCAGGTCATCAAAACAACCAGTTTAAGTGCTAACATACCAATTCATATTTTGTGTAAGTATCTGGTATAATTTATGAAACAAGAATGCTTCTGAAGTATGTGTTTTTGCAAATAAAATTGTTTGTTTGCAGTTATATTTAACACAGAACCTTTTAATTAGAATCTGGTTTTTGATTTATAAAATTTGTAGTGCCTGGTTTTTGTTATATGTGTTATTTTCATGCAGAATATGCACTTTATCTTGATATTGGTGCAGTGGAAATTTCTATATTTTCAAGCTTTGAAATTTAATTGTACTTTTGTATCAAACATCAGCATACAAGAGTCTGAAAGAGTGCAATATCTCAAATGGATGATTAATTAAAAAAAAATATGATGGCCCTTGTATTTAGAGACAATTTCTGTGATGTTATTATTTTTTCCTTCAGCTGCACTTTAGTAGTAGAAATGAAAGGCCTTATAGACTGATTAAACTTTATCATATGGGAAAAGGTGTTTTAAAGTCCCACATTAAGGGCGTGTCAGCTGGACTTAATGGTTAACAGTTCAGCAATATGCAAGTGCAATGCACGTCCATCTGGACTATATAAGAAGTAACACAAGGACAACAAAGGCTAACAATGCTTTTTTAACTGTTTAGATTATTGAGGTTATGTGGGAGGATGATATTGTGAATGATGAATCCGAATGAACATGGAAGGAAGTTGTAATTGAATGAAGTAGTCATGACTCATTTTACAGAACTATCCTGCCACTTACATGCAAGGACAGAAGAGAAACATGAAACAAGTCAGGATACCTGATCTGTGAATCAATATATAAACTCAGAACCTCCAAAATTCAATGCAGAATCACTAACCATGTAAATGTGATATTTGGTATATGAGTGTTGAATCTTTCTTTGTTTCTGTTGCAGGAGTATGAAAAATGTGAGGACTATTGGGCAAACAAACTGGAAGAGGAACGTCTTCTGTATGACCAGGAACAGAAACTCAGTGATGAAAAGTTTTCAGAATTGATGTCCAAGATTAGAGAATATGAGGAAATGTTTGGTGCACAAGAAGATGATAGCGACATGTTGTCAACAATAGAAGAGAGAGGAAGTCTTGAGAAACAGGTAAATTGATTGCAGATCATAATCAAAATTCCTGTAACTGTAGATTCATTTCATTGTTTTACTGGCAACAGAACCATTAAAACATAGAAACACTAGTATTGTTGGCAATGGAGAATTATATACAGTCATTTGAAACTGTTTCAGAATTTAAATATGCAGGAATAGCTACGACAAATAGAACTAAGATTCATGTTGAAAGTATGAGAATAACAAATTTTGGAAATAGTTTGGGGAACTTCATAATATACACACTCATTCAGTAATGAAATGTAGCAGGTTGTGATGGATCAGATATATAGTTTGGATGTGAGGGACAGGACATAAATACAAAATTTTTGTTGTGGATACAACTAGATTAGGGTTGTGTACAGTGGTGGGTTTTATGATTAGAGGTGTTGGTCTTCAGGTGCTGATACCAGAGAGTTGATACTGGCACCAGTGACCCAGAATTTCTTTTCAAGGTGCTTGTAACTAGTGAATCATCTGCCTTGGTTGGTTAGTGTGCTACACCTTTCTCCCATATCATGTGTTCTGTTTCTTTGTATATGTCTGTACCTGTTTTGTGTGTGTTTAATCTTTATTGCTTGAAACTGCAGGATAATTTGTAGTTCAGCTCTGACTCTTTCTTTGAATAATGTAATTAGAAGTGGTTGAGTGTTGGATGTTACTGACGTCCACAACGAAGACGTAAATTGTTGGATTTTGGAGGGGTCGATTCATGTGTAACTCATTTATATGTTGTTTGTGCTATATTATAAGAAAAATTATTTGTTAATAATATATGATGATTTTCCATTTCTTAAAATAATTTTTTTCCAATTCCTTACTAGGCCTACTATTCACACAATGTGTTAAATTATACATGACACCTCAGTAACTGGCAGGAACTGTAGATGTGTGACATGAGTTTCTAAGTGAGGTACACATACACCCAAAATGACATTTAAATTCCTTGTTAACACACTATTACTTAAATTTGAACAATAACAGATGGAAATGACAAACTAATAAATTTCTGATGCAACATTGGACTTACTGCTAGATTATAGAAGTTATGGTCACTACTTGTTATTTTCAGTTTACAGATTTGGAAGAAGAGTTTGTAGAATTTAGGCAAAAGGTTGAGGTGGAACAAGCAGGGAAGGAAGAAGAGCTTGTTCGACTAAGAGAACAGCTGAAGACTGTGGAGCAACAGTATAAGAATACAGGTAGCAATGGAGGGCAGTTGCATTTCTGGGTGTTTGTTGTGTGTTACATAGTTGATATGGGGCCTCCCATCTGATGGATTTCATTTGTCATCTACTTTACGTAGATAGAGTTTTCAGGTATGCTTCAGTTTCATAACTGTTTATTCTACCTTACAGTGTTAGCTCAATTTTTAATTGTGGCCTCCTGTGGTCATAGTAGGCATTATATATGTATGTATTTTTATTACTCAGTGCAATGATAGCTGAAGACAATTTTTATACTGATTTTGTCATAAAAAGTGGCTGATGACAAAGGTCATTTTGAGTCTGTTTTAATAAAACTATTGTCTTTTAAGATAGTAATTCTATGACTTGATGTCCATCATCACTGCAACCAGTTATGGCTCCTTCTTTAATTGAAGGCCTCATCAATTTTTTTGTCTCATTAAAGAGATTGGAAAGGTACATTAAAATCCCAAACACATGCTTTATGTCAGTCCAGGGGACAGTCCCTGGGGCATTCTTCATTACATGCAATGATGTTAAAGCCAATATTTTGAAACTCCAGGGGAGAGGAAGCCTTGTGGACAAAGCCCCTTGGATCAGCAACTAGAAGGAGTTCAGTCTCAGGGAGCTAGAATGCTCAGGAGATACAAGATTTGTAAAAGATGGCTGACTTCTGGGTTGTAGCACCATGTAGTCTGGTAGACTTCTTTGATGAAAATGATGTACTTTATCATTAAGAATTGTTCTTTAAAAACTATTTCAGCCAGGAGCACTCAGAATACACAATTTACAAATAACACATCTGTTTATTCTGGTATAGAATACAATTTCCAGTGTTGTTACCATTAAACTGAATGAAACTTATCATGTTCCATATAAATAAAGTAATACATGAGAGGAAGTTGTGTGCTCGTGCTGTTTGTATTATTGATGTTAGGAAATTGCAAATTACAAAGATCAGGTGAGCATAATGTGCATATCAAGTTTTCATGGACATATCTTTCAGTTGATTCAGAACTAATGGAGGGGGAGACAGATTCTAAGATGAACACAAGGATATGAACCATGAGCTTATGCCTTTGTGTAAAAATATGCATGAATTATGCAATAAATCAATGAATAATGCTACTCAAAAATGCACTTTGTGTGTTTTTCGGTAGCATGATCCACCATCTAGAAATTTTGTTTCAAAATAAGTAATTGTTCTGTTAATTCTTTAATCATGTATATGTTATGTTGTGGTCATGCAGATTGCTTCATTTTAATAACTGCTTCTTTCTTCTTAGAGAACAAGTTGAATGTGGCAGTGCAAGTTTCGGATTTGGAGAACGGAAGTTGGGAAAGTGATTGCAAGTTTGTTGTGGAACTGGATGGAGCAAGGAAAGCAATCCAACATGAGACAGTAAGTTGCCTTACATCATGGTATCCACTTTGAATCTAATAGATAACAGGCTTCCACATTGTTCTTGAAAAATTTGGAGCACTGTAACATGTTTCTTGTAATGTTTCAGAAAACAACAAATTTTGTTTCTCCACAGGTATAGTTAAGTTACAGACTGGAATAGAATGCATAAACCAATCAAATATCATCAGTTAGAGCATGGCTTAACTTGTTTATTTGTATGAAACTTGTAAGTGGACCATAAGGACAGATATAGGGTCTTAGTCACAAATGAAATTTCATGAAGTAATGACAATGCAGAATAACAATGACATATTAAACTGATGCAGTGAGTATCTGGGTGTATGTCTAGAAACACTGACATTCAGCAACAAGTAAACATATTTTATTTGCTGTTATATCAGCATCACCCTACCATTTATTAGGCCATATGGCCTGTTACATTTTTTGCTAGTAAAATTGTTAATAATTACTAATAAATGTTTATATTATTTCTGTTTTGGGACATAAACTCTACATTTATGATGTTTTCTCTTCTGATTTATTTGACAATTTACATACAGAGGCCATAAATTGCTGTGATACTGTCGGACCAAATTTAAAAGAAATGCGTAGTGGCTCTGGAAGGAAACTCATACTGAAATGGGGTGACATAAAGACTGGGGTCAAGGGTGACTTGACAGCCACAGAATAGAAAGATAAAACATAAACATACTGACAGATATGCGTCATCCTCAAGCAGAAGGTAATTTCTGTGAGGTGTATGGAAACACTCTGAAACCAGGCATTGTACAAAACTATAACAGACACATGGGGTATGTAGACAAGAGTGACTGCATGGCAAACAGTAAAAAAACAATGGGCAAAATGGAAATGGAAGAAAAAAATATTTTTTTACCTTCTGAACCTTTCAATTCTGAACAGTTTTATTCTTAGTTCTTGTGGTTCAGAATTTTCTAATCGAAATTTCAGACTTACCTTGGTTCTGGATCTAATACAAGAGGGGGAGGGTGCCTGGACCACAGACCGCTCCACAGGGAAGTCCAAGTACTTCCAAAACTTAATTGACAAGACTTGACAAAATACACAATGAACACTGGCCCTCAAAAGGAAAATGAGTTAGGTGCCAAGTGTGTTCTGCAACAGGCAACAGACAAACACAGACAAAATTCAGATGCTCAAATTCCAATGTGGGGTTGTGTGTTAATTCCTGCATCAGTATGTATCATGCACAAGTGCATTTTTGAAGACTGTCTGACACTACACTGGCAAAAGCAGTACCCAAAATGTAAACACTGTAATTTTCTAGCACTTGCAGTTTGTCTGCAATGTTACTATGGGGAGATTTGACAAATGCTTTGATTCCATATCAGTTTTTATTGCCCAAAAGGTTACCACAGGTCTAATTATTTTGTATATTTTACTGAACAGTACAAAAAGTATCCCTAAATCAAAACTTGCACTGAGACTCAAACTCAGGACTGTGTCAGGTTTGTGATGTTAGTTTCTGTAATATCCTCATTGAAACATGAATTTTGTTCTTTGCATCATTCTTCTGTCGTGCTTGGTTTCTGAGCTAGAAAAACTGTCTTTACTGGGACTTTACCTTAGGTCATATTTGTAGGGCTGTGTTTTTTGCTCCTGTAATTTCTTCACTGAAACTAAGAACTTTGGTCTTGGTGCCATTTTTCTGTTGTGCTTAGTTTCCAAGATACAGCAACACCCTCTCCAGGACCAAAACTAATTTTTGGAGTTTTTACCTTTCTAAAATCTCTTATTTTTCTCGCGGAATAATCATACCAATTTTGAAGCAAGCCAGTTTATCCATTCTTGAGCTATAAGCAAACATACACAATTTCAGAATTTTAATTTCTTATGAATTTCCTGATAATTTTGCTATTGATGGAATAAGGTGGTTGGGAGGTCATGGATTATATGAAAGGAATGATGAGATAAGTTAATGGTTTTCTAAAGTGTTTTTACATATCTTTATCTCATTTTGACGTTTTGTGATAAAACAAAGAAGGATTGGCTGCTTGTAGAGAACAATAAGTATTTTGACAGATTACAGATTTCACATGAATTCTTATAAGCAAGCACACTCCTTAAAATGGATGACTATTACAGATGAATGTCTGACAATTTAAGAAGCCCATAAAATCACATCAGACATAAAATATTTTATTTCCAAGCATATAAATCTTTTAATAATGTCTTGACATTACAGGACAATGGTATCCCTTTCACTCTCTTGCACTTACATGTTAGGGGACGTATGCATCCCTTTTGCCATTTAAAGCTTGACTCTATTTTCTGTATACTGAAGTTTGAAATAATCAGACCAGCAGCTTAGTTTACATTCACTTTCTATTTTTTCCCACTTCTTTTGTTTAGTCTTCAAAGTGTTTGAAAATAGATGAGTTAGATTGGTAGAAAAATTTTAACATGCTGTTCCATAGCTTCAGAGTGTTAAATTTGTGGTAATAAAAGCAGTTCTCTCCCTGCAATCTTGTAGCTGTATAAAAAACTCAAAGGTTCTGATAGCTGGTTCAGTAATGCAGGCTGTGCTGTTTTTTCCTTAGAATTCTGTATTGGAGCATTAATAAAGGCTCTGCATTATTAAAGCAGTTGTGTGAATGGCTGGGAATTCAAAGAGGAAAAGTCACCTGACCCATGTAGACTAATAGTTGTATTTGTGCTATTTTGGTGCTGAAACACTTCAAGTTTAACATGTAGAATGCATACCAGAATTGCTTCACAAGGAAAAATTAGTGTAATATTTCACAGGACACATGTGTCTTGGCAGATGAAAGTCATATTTGGTTGTACCATGAGAAGTTGAGGCTAAGAGGCAATTGGAGATGCTTCTTACCCTTACAATGTATTTCAAGAATTTAAAAAAGGCTGGACGAAGCACAGACAACTATTGAATAACTAATTAAACCTGGGAGGATTGTCATGCTTAAAATATGAGTATAGGAAGGAAACTATCAAATTATAATGGACCCAGAATAACACTGTAGGATCTAAACCAAAATGATGGTGTTGAGTGATGTAATTTTCTCCAACTTAGTCATCCAGCATGCATAGTTCAGACACTTGATCTGTTATACATTCATTTATTCATTTCTGCTTCAAGGAATGGGCCATTGGCACATTCTGGGACAGTTGCTCAAGGCAACTTATCCTTATTTTGTGTAGTGCATTTGAGTAGTGAGTGACAAGCCCCACTGCCTCTGCACAATTTCTACTCAATCCTAATTTGTCTGCTAGAGCCATCTAGTAGAGAATCAGGAAACACATGGGTGAGAAATGGCCACTTACGAAACATCTCATTCATGCTCATAAGGTTCTTTTACATGCTGTAAATCTACAACCGCCAGCTTTACTTCCCCTCCGAAGGAAGTTATGCTATGGATATTTTTTCACCCTTAAAATCCATTGACCTTGGTCCGGTTTGAACCCACTAACTGGGTCCAGTGGCAAGCACACTAACAATTAGTCTACTGAGGGCAACCTGTTATGATGATGATTTGTATTCTTTTTCTGTATTTCAGGAGTCACAGAGATTCAGCAAGGCTAGATATAGCAGTGGATCAAGTTCTCCACAGAAAGGGCCAAGTACACATTGCAATCATACAGAACTGATTCATCTTCATAATCTTAAGGAACATTTGAATGAGGAATGTCATGTACTTCGCCACCAGAAGGAAGTGCTGGAACAGGAAATTATGGAAATTCAAACTCAAAACTCACATTGTCAAAATGCTGGTGTTGTATTGCCTGTGAGTATGAGCATTCTGTAAATAAAATATGGTATTAAGATGACATGCAGTGGCATGCATTTTTCTGTGTCCATCTGAGAATCAGGACTCCCAAGACAATTTCACGTCTTCTGAGCTGTATAGAGCAATAGTAAGCAACCTGTGGCCCTAATTCCACATATGATCCGTGAATAAATTAAATCATTCAGATGAGTTTCTTTCATCCATACAGTTAGAAATATAAGCCATTAGAATAATAATCTCTAAAGGCCAAAACGACATGTGTCTTGTGACATGTATTTATGAATGGTTGAATTGGACACCACTTTCCTATTGTGTCATGACATTTTTTTAAAACTTTATATGCTTGAAAGTATAGAAGTTAAGTAGAAAAACAAAGTGCATGTTTATGCCTTGTCACTAGACTGCAGGACAAAAGTGGCTAGGTCCATGTATTTGAAAATTATAGTAAAAATTAATATTATATTCATGAGGGCATTACGAGCAGAATAAGGCCTGTCTACTGTCTGAAAATGAGTGATTAGAATATACAGAACAATAGTTTTATTTTCAGTATTGCTCTTTCTCAAGATTTGATCCATTAATCAATATGCTAAATGCAAATCTGCTGTTTTCTCCCAAAACATAGTTGTTAGAACCCTTTTAAGTTATAATTTTACCTGATTTGTATGGTTGCAGAAACTTGGTTTCACATGTTAACAGAATAACAGAGATAACAGGAGTTTACGAACAGGGTTCTTAGGAGAATATTTAGATTGAAGAGGGATGAAGTGACAGGAAGGTGGAGAAAATTATGTAATGAGGAGCTTTATAATCCTCACTCTTCACTGAATATTAGGACTATTAAATCAAGGAGGATGAGATGGGTGGGGCATATATTACATGTAAGGGATATGAGAAATGAAAGCCTGAAGCGAATAGACCACTTGAAAAACCTAGGTGTAGATGAGAGGATAGTACTAACATTAAAATGGGTCTTAGTGAAATAGTGTTGAAGGGAGTGGATTTGATTCGTCTGCCTTAGGATAGGGACTGGTGGTGGGTTCATGTGAACACAATAATGAGCCTACATGTTATATAAAAGGTGAATTTCTTTACCACCTGAGTATGCTGTTAGCTTCTCTAGAAGGACTCTGTTGCATGTATTTAGTTAGATTCATAAAAAAAAACAACTTAAATCCTACCTTATTGGTCAAACACTAGACAGGAAATTAATGCACGTAGGTAGCATCCAAAACAGCATGAGGGTAATGTGCGAACAGTCTCACCAACTTACTAATATGAAAATCTATGAATCCTCAATATTCCTAATTTTACCTTACAATTAATTCCCTCCCAAAAGTCCAGTTTTCCTCGTCTTAAAGAAATGGTTTTATTCCTTACCTTGCATCTCAAATCTTTAGGAGTATGGAAATGATGAAGTAGGAATCTTTTAGGCCACAGGATTGTGGTAAGAGTTAGATTAACGTTTACGGTTTAAATAAAGTAAGAGAAAACTATGAGTTACAACAATTACAATTGTCTTTAAAAATGAACTTCTGTTTCTACTGCAACAAATCTGAAACCCCTGTTCATGGTATTAATATATTTTACAGCCACATTGGACATCTGGTGCCAAGGTTGGTGGCCAAGCATGTCGAATAGATCTTAACATTCTACAAGCCCTGAATTCTCGACTGCGGCAGCAGGAGCAACAGTGTCACCATCTGCAGGTTGCTCTTAAACAACAGCAACAGCAGAGTGAAAACATCCTAAAACGTAAGGAGACACAGACAACTTTCAGGCAGTTAACGCTATGTTTGTGGTTTATAGATTCCACTATCCTCACTATGCTAGGTGATATATTGTAATTTGTTTTAAAAAATCTTTGGATATGTATTTACATAATAATTGAGTGTTGTTCATATTTTTAAAGGTACTATGCAGGAACACAAACAAAAAGTTGCATCTTTGCAGTCAGCACTGCAAACTACCCAAGAGAAACTGAATCAACAGACATCAGCCTACAAGGAGCAGGTAAATCTGATAGCAGTTAAATACTTCATGTTATTTATTGTACCTTATACTGAAGGCTTTGTCATAGTGTTACTTAATCCTCTCAGTATTAATGTGAGAGATTCTATTAAATTTTTAAGTTCCTAATTTCTAGATACAACATACAAAGTAAATCTAAACACTTCTGCTGGAAGTTCAAATGTTAAAAGAAATATATGATCCTTATACCAAACTGAAAATGTTACAGATCCTTTGATATTCTCTCGAATGTTGACAACTCAGTATAGAGTTAAATAAGAAAATGCTAACCAAGAAGTAACAAAATTAGTTGGATTAGTGAAAACATTCTGCATGTTTTCTGATTTCTTGCCTAGTTCCACATTGAACATAAATTTAGGACTATGGCTCCCAGAAAGATCAGTCCCTATAATCCAGAGAATTAAGAGTTTAATATATAAATTGTATACAGTTTCAAGGATTGGTCAAATTGTCTCAGATGTTTGATGAATTTGTTTTTAATGTATATTGAAATCATTTCAGTTCATCATCCTAGATTTGTATTTTGCTTGATAGATGAAGGGGGCACATTTGAAGTAAAGGGACAAAGAACTAATTATGTCCATAATTGGTTTAGAGACTCAACTTCCTGGACATCTCCAGCATTGTTATTATTTTGTTTGGGTTGATGGATGAAAAGTGTCCAATCGCTTTTATTTGCCCGCAGATTTTACCTTTTGATTTATAGCCATTTCTGACTGTTGTGTTCATATTGTAACAAATCTACTGTTTCCATATTGATTATTTACAATAACTGATGGATTTGTTTCATCACTATTACATTTATAATGATTTCCTCTATATTATGCTTAATATAACCAAAATAATAACATTTGAGTACTTTTTCTCTGTTAGTTACCCTTCACAGCTTAAATGAAACCTGTAGCAAAATTCGAGTAGGTAAATATGTATCTGAGACATTCTTCATCAAGAACGGTCTAAAACAAGGAGATGCTTTGTCTCCCTTGCTCTTTAACTTTGCGCTAGAATATGCCACCAAGAAAGTCCAAGATAGGCAGGAGGGTTTGCGATTGAATAAGACACATCAGCTATTGGCATTTGCTGATGATGTTAATTTATTGGGGGAC